ATATGAAAGTTGTTTGACCTTGTTTTCGCAACTTGGTCATATTGGTATTAAGACCTAGAGGAACGCAACTAGTCCTAAGTCTATAGTATGCATGATAAGTTCCAGAGTCGGACCGTGGATAAGGGAAATTCCTAGATGCCTTGGTGGCATCTTAGTCGAAATCGCCAATGAGCATTGTCAGTCTTAGCACCACACTACGAGTAGTCATGGAAACAAGTGAAGCCAATACTTTGATCAATTTTATGCTAAACAATCGTGATATCTCTTCTTGCGCCCTAAGACATAACCAATCGTAAATACTCTTATCATGCCTTTACGCTAAATACCTCGAGTAATTATAATGAACAAGCCCTTGCTTCATGGACATCGTCTATGGTAAAACAGGCCGAATGTCAGCCAACTAACTATGGTCGCCGCCTCGTATATCCTGTTTTTATCCATGCCTCCAAGTCTATGATTTCTAATGCACCAGTCTCTTGTATGCCATTAAATAAATGTTGTGTTTCTACTTGTTTTGATCTGTTTCAATGTAGAACAACATGCGTTGTTGGTTGGTACACAAGAGGCTAGGGCATTGGAAATCATAGACTTGACACTATAGACACTATAGCTAATTAACTGACAGTGGGCCTGTTTTAGCTTAGGCGTGGTCCATGAAGCAAAGGCTTGAACATAAGAATTACTCAGTGTTAGTTAGTCGCTCAGAGACATAGTGTGGGAAATAACGCCTTGAGTAACACATATGTTGTAGCAGGTTTAGAGTTTAATACTTGACGCAAGGGGATAGCAGACGGATCCTACGGGGATAAGAGAGAGACTCTGATAAGACCTATTGGAGGAGTACTGCTAAACAATATCGCAGAATTTGATCAAAATTCCAGGAACTAGGGTCAGGGGGGATGATTCAGTGGAACTTCAACGTAGGAAGTATAAAATTCTCATGAAATCTGCTCAAAACGGCACACCATACCACATTTAATGAGCAAGTAAAAAATTGTGATT